TTTTTTTTTTTTTTAAATGAAAGAATATTGTCAAAATAATATTTTGTCAAAGTTTGAGAGAGCCCTACCACAAATTTCTATTAAAAAACAGCAAAAATGTGCTCGCAGCAGACGACTTGGCAACGCTGCTTTTGTAGCGCGCTTTGAAATGTAATGAATAGTAAAAACTCCTTTTGTGATTGAAAATTTAATTATAAAAAATTCAACCGAAGAAATAAGTACACCATCATCAGTAGACGACGACAACAGCAGTAGACGACAACAACAGTAGACGACGTGCCAGCAGCCGAAAAAATTCACAACGTTGCCAGACGCTCTCCCTCCTCTTGCCTCTCTGAGATTTTCCCCCGATAACACTACCGAACCTCCTTAAGCACCCTGAACCTTTAGAATCCTACGTAACAGCCCCAACTATTAAAAGCACATAAAATTATTGTGCAGTAAAAAATTTTTAAACTAGTTTATGTAAGTTTTTTTCTCAATAGGTTTATATGTTTTATGTTTTGAGACAAAAAAAACTACCGCACAGGCAAAAAATGCAAAAAAAAAAATCATATTTAACATCGGTTAAAATTTGTATATAGATAAAAACAACGTCTTTAAAGAAAATATCGATGAAAATAAAAGTAAATAACAGCTTAGTGATGCGCAGTGGAACGACTTAAACTCACTGAAATACGTTTTTAATATTTTCTTTGTTGTATTTCATAATCTTAAATTTTGTAATCAGGTTTTAAAACCTTATAAAGTATGCAGAGCACACAAAAATTATACAACTATTTTTATGTAAAACAATTGAGTAAACACATAAAGCCAGTACTTGGAAAAAATTATTCAAGCAAAAATTAATAATAATTTGTTTGAAACTGAGAGATAAAAGTCACTTTGAATTGTCTTTAAAGCTTCATCTTAGATAATGTGAATGCACCTTAGTGCCTTTTTATGATTACTCAACGAAACTTTTATGCTCTTAGCTTGCAACTGATTACAATACAATTTATCTTGATTCGTCCTTTTAAGAACAATTCATTTCTACTGAGTATAGTATCTACTACTGGTAAAATATGTAATACATTCATATTTATTTACTAAAAAATGTGTACCCAACTTCGTAATACACATATTATTCCGATCAGTTCTCACAAAATAATTTCAGAAGCTATACTATAAGCTCGTAGAATTAGCATTATCGAAAAAGAAAAGATGAAAATGGCCGCAACCGATTTCTTAGGCCTAGATCAAGAGCAAAGAGTCGTAAAAAAAAAAAGTGTCGTGAAAAAATATGCACAATTTTACGACGAAGAAAATGAGTTGCAGTAGTTCATCACTAACCTAGCCGTTTTTTCGTAAGTCTCAAAAATCGTCATTTTTAGCCATTTTTTCAAATATTCATAACTCACATCCTGAAAAATATTACACTCTGACATTTTAACACAAGATAATTATTTTACCCTAACATATTGAAATTGTTTTTCAGCAATATTGGTTATAAATTTTTTGCGGACCATTAAGAAACCAAGAATATTGAAAAAAGTTCTAAAAAATATCCGCAAAAAGTAGTTTGACGGTATAGGGAAATTTTTTAAACCCACTTTTTTTGTGGACAGTTAATTAATAACTTACAGTAATGCTGTTTAATTTAAGTGAAGAGATACATATAAAAAATTGATTGCAGAACATGCTTTTTTGACGCGGCGTCCGAAACTTATTTTAAACTTATTTTTTCGCTGTTCGATGGGACGTGATTGTAAATCATCTGTTGTGGCTCTGAAGACCTTGACTTAATAATAAAAATTTAAAAAGGGCCCCTACTCCTAATACTTGACTAATACTACGAGACTGCCAAAGTGTACGAGACTGTGGAGTAGAGGTAAGGAGAATGAGGGTTATTCTCTCGTCAGATTGCGGTAGTGAGCCCATGTAAGATTTCCGCAGAGTTATAGCTTCGTATGCATTAAATACATAGATAATGTTCTGTTAAACTCTTACATGGGCCCACTATCGCCATCTGACGGGAAAATAACCCTTATTAGTGATTGATTGTGTTGGAATAGAGGAAAAGTAGTGACTTGAAAATATTTTTAGCTAAATTTTAATTTAATGTTCAAAATATTTATTAAATTTTTTTGATAGGAAAAAACTACAAATTATCTAACGATGTATGATCGAACGACCATAATGAGTCTCTATTCTACAATACATTTATTTCGTCGAGCCCCACGACACTCTTGTTGAAAAGTGATGTACGATATACGGGTGCAGGGAAACATGATTGATGCAATCGCGTTTCCTGCACACTAATATCGTAGTATACTATTTTGCGCTACTGATATTCGTCCTTGTAAAATCGGTGTGGCTTCCATCAAAACACCTACTCCGACACTAATGCAGATCATATTCTTTGTCTTGTAGTTGTGCATCTTTTTTACACAACACCTTTAATTGTACGACTTTTTGTTCTCGCTCTAGGCTCAACATTCGATTTTGGCCATTTCTATCAAGTTTGTTGGATCTTTGCTGATATTTATAGCAATATAAATTTATTTCAATTATTCTTAATCATCACAATCTTGCGCTTACTTTTTTTTTTTTATTTTAATGGAATTTTTCTAAAATTTCAAATTTTTTCTCTAACTGTACCTGTCTACTATTCTAAGTAACATGGTACTGTATAGCATAAATATACTACTAGGATATTGTTATGAATATCCCTTTATATACGTAATAACAAAAATATATCTATTTAAGCTTATTTTAACTTACCATTCTTCACTGATGGCAAAATCATTAATGTGAAGCAAATTAAAAACGCGCTCAAGTTAGTCATCTCAGCAATACTCCTTTTAACTGACGAGTTAACTGAAGATATCTGAACAGTTCGACGTTTTAAATTTTTTCTTTCAATTGCTTAAATATTAAAATATGCATGTATACAATCATCCGATACTTCTTATTACGAATAAAAAGGTTCATTCGACAAATTATTTAATATAATATAATTAATTCAACTTTTGTTTTCAGTAACGTAGGAAAAGATAATAAAACATCTGATCCAATGATAAATGTTACTTCAATAGTCCGTTGTATCAAGACATGTTTAAACAGAAAATACCTACGCAATATGTATATATGCACACACTTTCCATATGTATTTTAAATATTTCAAGGTAAATTAAGATAAACGAGACTAAAAACAATAATGAGCTGATGAAACTTTGATGAATATGATGTCATTACTAAAAAGTACGCATGCAAAACTCAAACATTAATTTAGTGTCAGTTTGTTTGAGAGTTAACATTGGACTAATGGCGTTGGCTTTAAAAACACGTGCTTGAAAACTGCTCAATATTAACTCATGAAATTTTCGAACTTTTTCCTATTTGTCATGGTTTTGTAAAATCCTTAATATTTTTATTCATAGTCACATTTTCGGTTTTGAAAGGGACAACATATATTAGAAATATTGATGAATTATTTTTTACTTCCACAATGTATACTGGTAGTCTAAAAAATAATTGGATTAATTTAATTTGTGGGTCTAAATTCTTTTTTCTACACAAAATTATTCTTGAAATCCCGAAAAACATCATTTGATTTTTTTAAATAAAATGTTATTAAGCTAATTGGTTTTTAACTACCTCTCAAGTCTTTTAAACTGCTAAAAAAATTTTCACTCATGAAATAGTTAAAAAAATTCAGTTTTATGCTGACAGATAGATATAAAAGATTACTGGGCTCAAATGTAAGTTATCAAAAAAATTTTTTTTTAAATATCTATTACTCTTGACACAGTGATGAGAATGTTTTGAAAAACTGATTTGTTATTATTAAACACAGGTTTTACCAATTTTTTTGTTCGTATCGTTAACGTTTTAGAATATTATACACCAAGAATAAAAAAAACAATAAAAGTAGGTGTTGTATCCAAATTG